AATTCTATCTTTCATAATTTTTGAGTTTTTTTCCCCTTTGTTATTTTCAATACCTTAATTTTTCACCCTGATTTAAAGGAAACCCAAAAAGGGTTTTTTGAGCGTAAAAGGGAAATGCAAAGGGGATGATCTTTTTGGGGAGGAACCCGTGCCCCAAGAAGGGTAATTTTTCCCTAAAATAATTAAAAGTTTTTTGCCCTTTGTTTTTTTTCATACATTTGCCCCGGACCCTTTTTCAAAATATTTAGGTATCCCCTTAAATTTCTTTGGGTGGAAAAGTTTTTATGAGGAAGGGGCAGCCCCACAAGAATGTTTAAACCTACCCTGAATAATTTTTCAGTTATTCCCTTTTTATTTTCCCATCATATTCAATAGGTTTCAAATCGGGTAATCACTTAAACCCTTTAAATTTTTTCATTTCCCAAAAAGGCCCTCTTAAAATGGTTTAAAATTTGCCCTACAAATATAATTTTCCCAAAGAGCAAAAAAATTGGGCGGGGGAAGGGTTTTTGGTTGACAGGGGCTTTGCTCCCAAAATTAGAAAAAACCTAATATGGTAAATTTTTAAAAACCATTTTAAAACAGCCAAAAAAAAAACTTTCATTGATTTTCAAATTCTAAAACAGTTTCGGGGGAAAAGGGGATAATGATAAAAACAAAAAATGCAGGCAAAAAATGCGGGAAAATTTAAACCGCGAATATTTAAGACTTCTTATAAAACCAGTTTATTCTTATAAATTTAATTTGTCAAGGGTTTAAAAGGGTTTTAACCAAGAATTGTATATAAAGATAAATGGGGCGACAAAATTTTTTCTTTCATGAATTTGGTGGGGGTTTTGCAAAAGGTTTTTAAAATATTAAATATATTTCTTTGGAACAAAACAATTATTTAGTATTATTTAACAAATGAATAAGTTAATTTTGTTGGTTGGTAAATTCTTAAAGAAATGTTTTTGTTTTTTTTTCAATTTCTCTATTCTTTACCTTTATTATATAACCTTTGAAACCTTTCGCATTAAGTCATATTTAGATTTTTTTAAAGAATGTAAAAAACTTGTTTGGTAATGAGGCAGGTAGTATTTTTTTTTAATTTATCAAGTATTTGCCTTAAAGCAGTACTTTTCAAAAAAATATTTTGTAAAAAAAATATTCTCTTATAAATTAAGAAAATGTCAACTGTACATATACTGTAACTTAAAGATATGACATTGTAATAAGACCTTATCTTTTGGATATTTTTTCTCTCGTGACATTTATCTGTTTCTCTATAATAACATTCCTTTTAGCATTGGACGTCTTTGCGCGTGTCCTACTATCAATTTTCGAATAAGAGAATAAAGTTTTGACTTGAAAAAGAAGACACAGATTTCGTTGAAACGATAACGTAGTTTATTTTTGTGTTCTGTGAAACACTGAGTTTTATCCGTGAAACCCGTATCACTCACAGTATTTCACTTACAGCATTAGTGTTAGACTCTACATTTGTGCCAAGACCTTAAAGATCGTTCAGCAACGACATTATTGTTGTGTTTGTAGTATTTTTAGTTTTTTAGTTTTTGTTAACTTTCGGCATTTTCATAGTTGGGTGGTTTCAATATTCCTACTTTGAATAATGTTGAATCACCCTTAGGATATGTTGCCTGCTTTTTAACTTTGTCTTTTTATGTCTTATCTGTGATATGCAGGGCTTCATAACCCTCTGATCCCCTTCTCAAAAATTCCATTTATTTAGTTCCGCCCATTGTTTTCTCGTTTAGGGCACACGGCTTTCTATTACTGGGACCATACGCCGCTTTTCATGGAATGGCACGGAAGTGTCACGTTGAAGGTTCCATGAATAACCGCCGTATGAAACACATCTGCGGATGCTTCTTAAATTCAAAATTTTACCATTTTACCACTTTACAGTACCGTCCATGAACAGGCTCAATCAAACCGAGCCTGCAACATTTCCAATTATGTTGTGTTGGACTTTCTTTAGGGATTCCTTATTTTTCTCTAATGGTTGTGTCCTTTTTTCCTTGTATGATTCCGTTAATTTTTTATTTTACATAAACATTAGTTGTGGCGCTTTTTTGCATATAAATCGATTTAAGAAATATCAATACTTCACTAGAATAGTATAAAAAATACATGACTATATACTTGATCTTTATTTTTTGTTTTCCTTTTTGTGTAGCGTTTGCTTGTCATTCAAACGTGTGACGTCATCTTTTTAATATTAAATGGATTTAATTTACTAATTCAGCATAAAATCAAAACAGAAAAGTTTGTTTTTCTTTAATTTTATTATTACCCTCGATCGAATGAAAAAAATGTTGAATTTTTCTAATTTCCCAAAGTGTGAAAATTTAAATTAAATTTGAAAATAAACCCCCATTTTTTTTTAAACAAAAAGTGCAGAATTTATCTTTTTGTTTTGGGGAATTTCACTTAAAAACACATAGCTACGTTGTCTTTTGGGAAAAAAATTTTGGGGGTTTGTAGGATTTTTTACCCCTTCCCAACACACCCAAAATTTATAGGAAATTTTCTCCTTTTTTTTAAATTTTCATTTTTTGGGTTTTTTTTAAAATTTGGAAAATAGGCCCCAATGCGCCCATGTTTTTGGGTCGGGCTTTTTGTCGCATTAGTAATTTAGTGTTTTAAAGGGTTTTGAATTTTAAAAAGAAATTTTCTCAATCAGGTGAAACGATAAATTCCAAATGCTGTTAGCGTTGTATTTACATTCAAAATGGCTTGTTAAAAGGGAACTTATTTCCAAGATTATTTCAAAAAAGTGACCCATTGCTTTCAACCAGCATGTTGATATCACCAATATAAAAAGTAGCATTTCGTATGTATATTTCTAAAGTAATATCATTGACTAGGATTATTCAAACCAAGGGGGTAATGGGTTATTTTAGAAATTCATATCATTATTCTTCATTTAACAGTATGGGATATTGGAATTCTGTTTTAAAACGGTGCCCAAGCTGGGCAGTTAAATTATGTAACAATTTATGTTTTGTTTATCTGATGTTTAGTTTTGACCAGCCACGGTATCTAAAATATAATCAATGCCTTGAACTCTTACATGTAAAGAATTTCTTACTGGTATACATTGTTTATAAATAGCTATTTAGAATATTGAAAATAGGTGGTTCAAAATATTATTTCAAATGATGCATAATATTTGTCTTTAATATGAACATAAAAGGCCTGTAATAATGACAATGATTACCTTAAACCTGCTTGCGGCATCTGAATATACCTATGAGACTAATATAAACCAAGATCAGCTATCAATTCTGTACCATATGATTATAGAATACTTATTTTGAAATTTTCCCTTACATGATGAATGGTTTGGATAAATGGAACTTATGAAAGGACTTTTTTCTGCTTTGGATTTGAAGTATATTTTCAAAAAAAGCGTTCTTTAAAAATTAGATTACAATTTTTTCAAAAATCTGCATATATAAGCAGTATAAAAAGGCCGGCCTGGTCTTAGAACGTGTGGGGAATAAAGAAATTGAGCAGATTATTATTAAAACGCATGTCAAAAGTTAAAAAAATAGCAATACAAAATATTTTACAATGTCAAAACTATGTCCTTGATCGTTCATCACAAGTTATTGAAGTAAAGCAGTTCTTTATGTTTTCTAAAAATGACGGACAAGTTTTCCCTTACCCAAAGAAAGATTGTGAGAGCATTATAGAATTTGTAATGAAAGAGCGTTTATTTGTCATTTATTGATAGGAATTGACGGGATTATTTCTTCAAGATTTAATGCATATTTATGCGTTAATGAATTAGATTGACACACTTTTGATAGAGAACACGTATACCATCAATGTTAAACATGACAAAGAATTTTCCAATTATAAGAAATCACTTTATAAACAAGCAAATTCATATCGTTATAAATATTATATCACAAATGGACTCCACTTAGGTTGTTTTTAAATGGTGTGACTGGAAATATTTGCCTGAAATTATGTTCTATTTGGTGCAGGTTTTGACCAATATCTTGTTTGAAAATCCTTCCCTCACCTCATTTTTCCAGAATAATCATTTTTATTGTCCAACATTACACCACAAAAATTCATACTCATCTAAATTTTGTATAATTCTTAATTAATCTTTTGCTGGTTTATAAGTGTTTCACATAAATCAATGCTAGAATTTCCTTTTTTATGCTTTTTAACCTACGTGGAGTTCCTTTAAAAGTACTGAAAAGAAACTTGAGCTTGAAGAAATGGTAAGTCCTCTAACGCCAATGCAAAATGGCATAGTCGATAGCTTGCACTTATCAGTACCGTGCATAAACAGTTCCAATCAAACTTGTCTGAAAAACATTTTCAATTTTGCCTCCAGACTTTACTTTTGGTATAAACTCCGGTTATAAATAATCGATAAACCAAAAAATGACTAAAACTATAGACACACATTTGTTTACAATGTAATATATATGTTTGTTCTTCATTATTGTGTTTGTACGGTTTCACAAGCTTACATTGTAAACAAATGAGTCTCTACAGTCATGTTTTGGTTCATCAATCATTTAGAACCGGAAGTGTTCATTATATCATTGCATCTGACTGTTGATACGTTTTATAAAATAGGTTGTTGACCTTAAAAAATAGGTTCTTATACTTCAAAAATTTCATTGTGTCATAGTCGGCATCATTGCTTTTCGAGTCAGTCAAGTCAAAACCTTATTCAACACAGTTTGTTAATTTTTAATTGATAAAAAGGAAAGGAAAATATAGACAATAAAAACAAAAAAAATATTTTAATGTTTTGGATACTATACTTGTAAGATTAATTACTTTAAAACACATCTAAGTATCAATGAAGTTTAATGTAAACTTCATCAAATAATTTCTTTAGATTTGCGTTCACATTTTTTTTAACGTTTCTCTATAAAACACATCTAAGTGTCGACAAAGTTTAATGTAAACTTATGAAATATTTTTTTTTAAATTTACGTTCACAGTCATTCCAACGTTCTTTTCCCTATAAAAACCTCTACGTATCAACAAAGTTGAATGTAAACTTTATAAAAAAAATCTTCAAATTTGCAGTCACATTCTTTTCAACGTTTTTCTGTAACGCTGATGAACTTTTGCCACGGCAACTAACCAAACTAAAATGAACAGTACTACTCCTAATGGCAAAAGACTTGAAAGGACAAATCGGTCGCCTACAATCTGTTTTGTTTTTCTGTCTGATTTCATATAGCCAGAGATTAATTGTCTGTACACCACGCTTTGAATCATGGACGTCATGTTTACGTTTTCGGTAATAATGCTGAGTTTTCCAGTGTCAGCTAATACATGTAGTCGATACACAAGATTTTCGAGATCGGTTATAGCTTCTCTGGTATCAAATTCTTGCTCTGGTTCCATCCCTGTCTGTTTAAAAACGTCCAGTCTTATCTCATATACGTGGAAATCTAAAACATTATTTAAGCACGATAAAGAAGATTGGTTACGGTGACAAACAATTACAATATCATTTTGAAAATGATGAAGGGTAGTGAGAAATGTGTAAAACTTTAGCTGCCATGCAAGAAGAAAATATGATAAAAAAATATTAACCAGGAAAGGCGGCGTTTAATAAACGCAACAAGTTTTGAATACAAACCTGTTGTGACAGTAAAAGAGTGTAAATACAACTTATTTCGTGCTTAATCATCTGGCAAAGCTTGGCCTGCATTTAAAGCCAGAGCCCAAAGGGCAAGGTATTTAACAAAATCTTTGGCTTCTTCAGAAGTTATGGCACGAAAGAAAGGTGAAAAAACATACATGTACTATGGCTGCATTTTCTAAATATGTTTAAGAGCACCAAGTAAAACAAGCTGTCCTGGTTATATCATTTTGAAAACATAACTGTCAAATAACATGGCATTGACCTATTTTCTTTAATTAAGTAATATTTATTCGAGTAAGAACACACAATCAAAGTTCAAAATATCACTTTCAACCCGTATTGCACTGAATGAAGTACTTTGAATTGAAAATGACAACAATAAATTGTTCAAAATTTTAGGAAGGGGTATGGTTTGTGCTTACCTGAATAAACCATTTTTATATTGTCCAGGTGCTCTAACGAACAATTAAGTTGACGAACAAATTGCCCTCTTATGTCCTTAATGAATTCGTGGTTGATGACGACGTCATTAACATCACTTTCAAAAAGGAAACTCACACGTACTAAATCAGTGTCGTTTGCAAATCTAGGATACGTGACCGTTTGCCCTGAAATGAGAATGGCAGAACAGATATTCAAATAAAACAATGACTTTAATGTAATGAAATAGTCAAGTAATTGTCAAAACATAAATATACATATTTGACGCTAAGAACAGTAAATTCTTATTGCAAAACAGTATTCCAATACAAGCATAAAATGTATTTTTATGCACTTCTTGACTAGATAAGTACATTTTATTATTCATAGTATATTATAAATATACGTTAAGGATCCAACTCGAGGTTTTTTAATAACGATACTTGAAATGATTACTCAAGATTTATGTATCATTTGCAAGATTTCAGATCATTTAATTGACCCGTTTTTCTTGAATAAACATTCGAATTTGTGAACCCAAAAAGACAAGCATCTAAATGCATTTAACTGAAATCGGTTAAAGAATAGCATAACTAAGATAAACAATTTAATAAGTATGTTTCTTCATTATCTTTTGAATATATTTTCGTTGTATGTGCCCATGTTGGTTTATGTATGACATTATATTCTTGCTGTTTTAAGAGTTTTCGGCCCCAGTGGAGTTCCTTTTACGTCCTCCACTGGTTTGAACCCATGACCCTCAGTTTCAATGCAGCTTATAGTAGTTCTAGCCCATTAAATACTCTTCAAGCGATGGTAATGCATAAAGAGTTTCGTAACTCAAACAATTTTAAAGACACTCACTTTGCTAAATCTGCTAAATTCTTTTACATTGAAAACAATTATGCAAAATTTCAATATTTTGCTATTTACCGATACATTGTGCCTTCAGGAGACACAGTGAAATGTCTGGTAGCAAACACCACACCTAGAAAAGAAACATAACTCGATTTAAGTGAGTTTGTTTTCCAAAAGTGTTAAAAGTATTATCCGTCAGTAAAAAAACGAATATTTGGGTTAATAGTTTTTAAATTTTAAAATAAGGGATCAGAACAAGTAAAAGGGCTTTTCACCAAACTAATAGAAAAAATGTGAAATGATACCAAAAAATAAAAAAACAACAACGAAAAAAAAAAAAACATTTTATAAAAATTTAGGCTTTCTATTCCTTTTAATAAATTTAATAAATTGCCCCTGAAAGTGTTTTACACTAATTAAGTGTCAAGGGCCAAAGTGCTACAAGGGGCGTTAGCAATGCTGCACATATTCATTATCCCTCATTTACAGACTCAATCAAACCGTGTCTGCAATTTTCATGTAATTTTGTTGTGATTAATGCTTCCAAAGGATCACTTCGTTTCCAGATTTTTAAAACAAAACAATCAAATCATTAACATTAATAATAATTAAATAGAAAACTTTACCATATCGTTCTTGCATCCGAAGCAACTTGATTCAATCAATCGCGGTAGAGGTCTCCCTGATAAAAGAAAAATGATAATCACAACCCTCAAAACAATCATTACTATTCAAGCTGACATTGGACGGATTTTGTTTCGAAGCACATGATGTTTAAACATAGATTATCCACAACGTACTATTTAGCGATCTCTATAAAAGACACAATGCCCGACAAATGTACATCTAAAAAGACCGAAGCAACATCTACATGCAAAAATAATCCTTTTATACATAAGAAATTAGCCAAACTTAATTAAAACTATCATAATACATTTATGTTAGTGCATATCGCAACAGATGTTTTGTAGTAAAGTAACAAGAAATTGGATTTAAGAGCTAAAAACTGTTTTGAAAGCAGATTGTGATTTCGTGTCTTCAGATAAAGGTAATTTTATTGTCTTTTTTTTTAAATTTTGCAACTTAGCAAAGTTCGTTTCAATCATTATTAATAACTTATTCTTAACTGAAATTAAGTTCAGGTAACACTTACACTTTAAATGTCTAAAAAGATAAAAATGAAACGACCTTTACAAATTAAACTGTTTTTCCTGAGAATTAAGGATTTTAAAAGTAAGTAGGGTAAGAAATAAAATACATTTATTTAGAAAAAATTAAAAATATTACCAGATCTAGTATCTCTGAAAAAGTGACCCTTAAATTCCCCTACAGAAAAAACCCAAAATTCCTTATAAAGCCTACTTCTTAAACCCAAATAAAGCCTTCCCAGTTTCCTTTCTCTAAAAGGGGGGGGCCCATTTCTAAAACCCAAAGGGCGGTAGTCAAATCCCCGGGGAAAAAAGTTTTCCCTTTAAAAAAAATTTAAAATTGCAGAAACTTTTTTTTGATTTTTTAAATTTTCATGGTTTTTTTTTAAACTTTTAAAAAAAGAAGATTTCATTATTTTGTTGTTTGGTTTCAGACCTACCTACTTTAAAAATTTTAAACCCATAGTTTTAAATTTATTCCAAAAATTTTGAAAGGGCCAAAATATTTTTTTGAAAAAGGCTTTTCATATTTTTTTTCTAATAATTTTTTTTTTAAACGCTTCTTTTAAAAAAACAACAAAAGTAATTTTAGTTTAAATGAAAGTAGTAAATAAATCAATTTTGCTTAAGCGACAAATCAATACGTTTAAAACAATTATGTGATTTCGCTGCAAAGTGACATAGATTTTACAAAGAAAAGACATGAAAGACAGAATTGGAATATTAAATCAAAACTATCTATCTGTTTTAACTGTTTATCGTCATGAAAATGAGATACTGGAAAGCAGATTCAGCTTTGCTAGTTATGTTTTCGTTGATATTTAATTGTAAAACAGTTGCAAAATTATAAAATTCCGTTCTGACTTTCATACAATATGTCGTTACTTTTAAATTCATTCCACCTTTGCATAAACAATTACATGTTGTTAAATTAGTAAAACTTTCTTATAAATTAATTCAACCTTTCTATAATTCTATGCATGCACTGTTTAATCAATAAAAACTTTCTTGCTATGTGTCGTTAGCTGTAAATTCGTTCTCTCTTTGCATAAACATTTTGCATAAAATGTAATAGCACTGTATAAACTATCAAACTATCTTACCATGTGCCGTAGCTCGTATTATCATTCCATCTTGGCATAAACCATACACATCATGTAGAACTTGTTTGATAACTATTAAGGATTGATCGAATCCAACAATATCAAATATTCCTATTCCACCCTCGATAACTATTGACACTAGAATTGTTAAATAACAACAATAAACTATTATCTTGAAAAATAGATAATCTTGTATAAGTGTCACTATTTAAACAATTAAACAATATTGTGAAGTTTTGCCAGTTGTAAAAGAAGCCAGCGTAAATTTAGTTTCTTTTTTCAAGCATCGAAAGAAGGTCCACTGAGGTTCGAATTCCGAAAGCCCATACACACAAAATAAAAAAAAACCTCTCATATATCAACCTGGGCACTAAAAATATATTAAAGGTAAAAAAGAAATATACATTTTTAAACACAGATATTAAGTGTGATCTATCCCGATTTGATTTAAAAGGTGTAAATGCTTTTTATTTTAAAGGCAATTTACCTAAAATAAATTATTAATCTGCAAAAACTGAGGGAATTTCGCACACATGCAATTGGCAAAGAGCCATATCAAATTAAATAAAAAATATCGAAAAAAAAGAAGGTTGCTAGTCCCGTCAAGTCAAATAAAACCTCAGTGGAGTTCCTAGAAAATCGTAGCAATGGAGATTGCAACATGTTACTCGTATTCACCTAAAATTCACCTTTTACTTACATTTATATTTTTGTCTTAATCGTTACCAGCTGGTTTCATTTTACTTCGAACAAATTTTTGAAAAATATATGTCGAGGAATTAACCTAAGAGTTTGCGCGAGTTGGACCGTTACCAAAATCTCCTTCGCCTGAACGTTGTATGGCATGCACCAGAATCATCAATCGCCATAAATTCCACGATGTGTAAAGTTATACATGTAAACAATGTCACAATACTAGAACAAAATAATTCGGTTAGCCAGTATATGAAAAAAATCAGTCCATTTATACAAACCTTGTAAGTTGTTGTAGAAGTATTTATCACACCGACCGATCCCTACACATTTTGTAACACCTTTTGAATCAGTGCAACTCTCCTGAAAGAAATATATACGGAAAAAATATCAGAGCAAAAAAAGAAAAAAAGATTGCTGACAGTTTAAACGTCCTGGTGAATAACATTAAAAAGCCGATGATTATCACTCAAGTTTCAAAAGCATGTCCAAAAAGGTCGTTTATATTGAGATGAGATATTTATTATAATACTGCAAATTTGATAAGCTGGTCCCTGATCATAAAAGGGAATGTCCTATATTAAGAAATTTAATTTTATTTTACTCGAAAGTGCTTGGGGACTGAGAAATCTAAGATGGCGTCCAAGATGACCACCGAAATACAAATATTTTATATTAAATATAAAGAATATGATTTAAGTAAATATTATGATGTTTCTTTTAACCCTTCACCAGCGGTTGATATTACATAATTTACCCTGATTTGATTACAGACAGTCCATTGTTTAGTTTTAGCGATTTCAATACAAAAACAAAATTATTGAGCTACCAACTATATCGAACCATGGCAGACTGCACGGATATACTGATGACAAAGCCTTACCATTTTCGGTTCTAACGGGTTAAGGATTAAAAACACGTTTATTATATATGCCATCCTTTAGTTTGAACAATACTTTGTTAATATTACGTTCATATGTTCTAATGCATATATATTTGGGAGTTCTAACAAATGAATGTATCCAACTTATAACAAAAACGTACCCATTACATAAAGTAAACAAGATATTTGTTCAAAATAAGTACAGAAAGGTTGACTAGGAAATATTTTAAATTTTATCAGCTGCAGTATACGTATCTGCATTGTAAATACAAATAACTATGTAGTCGTTATTTCATAAGTAAACTTATTGTATTGTAAACTTTCAAACGTACAGTTAATTTTACAACTATCATTATAACAAAATTATGTAACATTAGACAATACTAGATAAAACCTAGTTGCATCCGAAAAAGTTATTCACAATTTATAAGGTCAATGTGCAAGCATTTTAATTTTAGTTTGTAATATTAAATACATAATGATTACGATGTAATTC